TTTACCGTTAAACCACAGTCGACAAGATCTTCGATTGTCGCTTAGGTTGTATCGGCTACAAATTGCTCGATCTAAAATTCGAGTTTTAGGTTGCATACTACTATACCAAATTTTAGAAAATTCATAACTTCCTCATTCAAAGTCAGATTTGGGCATTCTTTTTATGTCCGCTCTCGGTTTAACGTATACTACGACTTTAGTTTAGATTGCTAAGGCTAAAAAACACTTTATCGTAAATTCACTTTTTACGTCATAGAATGTCGTGCTGCTTGTATCGCGAAACTTTGAAAGGTCATAGCTTTTTCGTTATAACTCAGATTTTGGTATTATTTATATCTCCAGAATCCTTGTTTCGACCTCTACAACTTCCTTTATAGATATCGGGTTTATCTAATATTTATTTCGATGCTTATTTTTGTCCTTGATTTATTAAATCATAATAATTAAGTATAAAACACATAATTCGTTCTTATTACTTCAAAACGAGTAACAATGTTTGACATAGACGATAACTTCATAATTAATGCTTTAGTCCCGAAGCACGTGCGTTACAATTCTTACGCCTTAGGATGACTCCGTGCTCGGAATCATACATCAGCAAACATGCGGATAGCGACTCATCATGTTACTCTCCATTTCCCAGGTGTGATTTAGCCCATTCATATGTTTCCATCACATAAGCATTAAATCGGCCATCTTGCATCTCAATTTCTTAGTCTTACGATCAATAATTGCCTCCGGTTCTTCATTTAACCTCTTGGTTTCATCCAACTTTAATTCAAAAATTAGAATTATATTGGGAACTTCTCCCGTGAACTTCTTCAAATAACACATGTGGAAAGTGTTATGAATACCATCTATTTCTTCTTGTAATTCTAGCGTGTAAGCTTCGTTCCCAGTCCTCTGAAGAACTTTAAGCGGTCTAATAAACCTTGTACTTAACTTTCATGTTTTACCAAATCTTATAAGTCCCTTTCATAATGAGACTTTAAGTAAAACCGAACCTCCAACTTAAAAAGTTATCGATTGTTTTTTCTGGTTAGCATAGTTCTTTCGAAGGTCCTGGGATGCTAACATACTTTCCCTAATCACTTTCATCTTTTCTGCAGTCTGATGAACTATCTCAGGTTCCATAAACTACTTTTCTCTAGCTTCAAGCCAACATGACGAAGTTTGACACTTTTGTCCATACAAAGCTTAATAAGGTGCCTATCTTGATGCTTGAGTGGAAACTATTATTGTAGGAAAATTCTACCAAAGGTAAATGTTTATCCTAGTTACCTTGGAATTCCAGGATACATGCTCTTAGTATATCCTCTAATGTTTGAATCGCCCGTTTGCTCTGACCATTGTTTTGTGGATGGTAAGCTGTACTTAAACAAAATTTCATACCCAGTGCTTCTTGTAGACTTCTCCAAAACCTTAATGTGAAACGGCTATCTTGATCTGATACAATCATTAAAGGAATACCGTGAAGTCTCACCATCTCCTTTAGATAAGCATTTGCATGTTTATCTATAGACCATTTTTCATTGACTAATATGAAGTGTGCACTTTTAGTAAACCGATCAATGACCATCCAAATCATGTCATGACCGCTCTTCGTTCTGGGTAGTTTAGTCACAAAATCCATGGTGATGTATTCCCATTTAACCACAGGTACAGGTAAAGATTATAAACTCCCATACGGTTTTTGATGTTGTGCCTTAACCCTCGTGCATGTCACACACTCGGCCTCATACTTTTCAACATCGAGCTTCATTGTCAGCCACCAATAGTAGGGTTCCAAATCCCTAAACATTTTTGTGCTACCGGGATGAATCGAGTACTTGGTCTTGTGAGCTTCCTTCATCAGAAGATCCCTTATTCCTCTCATCTTAGGTACCCAAATAATATCTTGGAATACCTTCACTCATTGACCGTTTGTATCGAACACTAACATTTTGCCCAAACGTTCCTCTTTTTGGTCATTTTTCTCTAAAGCTTCTTCCTGAGCATTCTTGATACTTTCTATAATTGTTGAAACAACTTTGATTCTTAATGCCCTTGGCATTCTCTTTTCAAGGCTTACTTTTCGACTTAAAGCATCAGCTACCACATTTGCTTTACCAGGATGATAAAGTATTTCACAGTCATAATCCTTAAGTAACTTTGTACCATAAAGATAATATCTCTGTATCTTTAGAGTGAATACTACCGCTGACAACTCCTGATCGTGAGTGGGGTAGTTCTTTTTATGTTCTATTGTGATATAATCACATTCTAACATGCAATACTTCTATCGATAAGCTTCTTACTTTAATAATGATTGCAGTACTTCAATCTTCTTGTTTGAGCGGGATACTACATCAGACTTGGTTCTCTGAACCACATGACTAACTTATCTTGCTCGGACTCGATTAATATGACCTATAAGGTCGGAATAACAATCATCCTCTTAGTTATTACCAAAACATTGGTAACAACATACTTGAAAAAAAACGAAATCAATTACTAGCTTCTTGGTAACCTTGTGACCTTCCCTAATCCAAGTGTGAGTCATTTGCTTCCGGTAGTATAGGCCTTTACTACCATTCACACCTACTCATACTCGTCCCAAGTATTCTCTCGCAGTCTTCCAAGTCATCATTCAAGAATTTTACATAATCATTTAACACATCAGGTAATAAAAAAAATCTTTAAATTATTTCCTAAAACGATTACATAAATGTTTAAAGTTCAACTCATACTATGCCTCTAACAGGCTACAGCACATGCTACTACGGCTACTTCATACCTTGATCTTTGGTTATGAAATCCTTACTTGTGGTTCCTTGTGTTGTCACCCTCTTTGTTAAGAATGTTTTGAAATGCCCTTAGTGCGACGGTGCGCTTAGCCTTGCTGGATCATTTTTCTTCGGGAAGTCCCTAGAAATATGTCCTTCTCCATTACATCCGTACCACACCTTCTTAGTAAATGTACACTCATTGGCGTAATGCCCGATATCTCCACATTTGAAACAAGGCACCTCCCTTCTAGAGTTTTTATTTTTTCACTTCTTGCACCATTTTTCTTTACCTCCTCTTTTTCTAGACTTTCAGAACGTGTTGCTCTTGTTGGGCCTTGAAGGCCCCTCAAGTTTCCTCTTCGTGCCAACTTCAACCTTCTTGCGGTCCTGTCGTTGATCATTTCTTCAACTGATTTTGCAACCTAGATGGTCGCTTCAAGAGTGGGTGTCTGGTGTATTGGCACAGTAAGTTCGTCCTTACTTTGTTGGAGTAGACGTCTTGTCTCTTCCATCTATTGATCTAACATTATCTACACCATTGCCTCTACTCCTGCCATCGTGATTGGCTCAGGTGCGGCTGCTATTTCTAGTTCACTCTCAATCACTTGTGGCTCATGCTACGGGTTACCATTTCCAAATCCTCTTTGAGTGGTCACAATGTTGACCTTTACAACAAAATCAAACGTTCGGTGAGTAGTGAAAAGAATTTAGATGGAGAGGATTTATTTATGATAGACATATAAATCTCCTTATCATTCCGAAAAGTTACATGCCAGTTCTAATACTGTAATTAAACGTTTAGAAACCTGTACACATAAAATTTCCAAATCCGGTCGGCAACAGACCATAGATCCGATCAAATAATATAATATATGGAAAACATATAGCATTTAGCACATAAAAGCATTTTAGGCATCTTTCCTAAAATATACTAGTTCTCGTGTCCAAAATATAGTAGACACTCATGTCACTATCATCACTTAGCATTCTAAGTTGAAGTCTAGATATCCTACGAATTCCTAGTGTGACATCCCCATTTTCACGGCCAGAAAAGACCGATTAATTTATGCTTTGTTTTGAAAATCAGAGTAAGATTTTAAATAAAAATGTTGTAGAATTTGTTCCCAGTAAAACATGATAAATACGCTATCTAAGCATTTCCGAAGAAAAGTATTTTTATTCATTTTAAAACATTTGGGATGTCATCATCAATATACACTACAATAAAAATACCCTTTAATGATGCGTGAACAATGACACTCGTTCATTTATGATACAAATTTTTGTGTGTCCTTAAAAATAATGTCAGCCTTCCAAATTTTGAAGGATAGAGCTCACGCGTTTTTGCGTGCCCTAAAATTATTGTCCCACAAAAAAATTTACAAACACGGAGGGTACCAAATTTAAATGGGTGTCGTCTACAAATGTCTCTTTATATTTTTTTCAACGCGCGTTTTTAAAAAGGGATCCTCTAAAATTAGAAAATTATCAAATTTTGAGGTAATCTCCCATATCTGTCATAAAATCTCACAGAGAGCCATTTTCTCCCTCCTCCTTCTCTCTAACCCTAGACACAACCACCGTTAATTCGCAACGATGTCTTCCTTCTTCCTTGCTCCAGATTTGTGACGTTCTTCGAAGCTATCTTATCCTCCCCCACCTGGTACTACCACACTCGAAATCGATGAAACCTTACCAGCCCTCCATCATCAACAATCAATGCCTCCATCAACCAGTTAGGGATTTTATGGGAGACCTCTACAAGATTAATCAAGTTTGATCCTCGCAGTGTCGGCGACTCCTTACGCTCACACACGCCTATGCCGACGAGTGTGACTTCTTAGACTCACCATGTTGGCGATTAGGGTTCTAAGTCCTAGATCCACCTCCTATCAACCATACTCAATCTACTATGTCTACCAGACCTGACCCATGGCATGGGTAGGTTAGGAAAATGGCTGAGGACATCATTCCTGAGGTGGCATAATGTATGTCTGGTCTGGTCCCGTAGCTATGTATGATATTTTCAGTCCACTTTTCTCAAAGCCCTCAATTTCATATCTGATTGGCTTGGGCAATGGTCGAGGGCATCATTCCTGAGTTGCATTCTCTCTCTCTCTCTCTCTCTAGAAAACCATAATCACCCTTTTGGTTTTTTGAACCATGTTCATCCGCTCTTTCCTCTGCTCCTATATTTGGTGATATAAGTATCTGCATACACGATTACATCTAATGGTCGGAGTTGGGGAAATAATGGCGGTTACTGAAGTTGGTTCTCATGGCAGAGGTTCAGGATGTTCAAAGTTTTTGCCTTGGGAAAACCCGTGAGTTTGTCCTTTCTTTTGATGTATAAAATCTTTATACAAATCAAGAAACTTTATTCTTGATTCTTGATTCTAGGTGACATTCGGTGCCACATCAGTTGTACCAGAGGTTTAGGATGTTATCCCTTACGGACTTGTTAGAGAGACTCCATATCTGACTTATTCGATTTTCAATACATATGATTCTTTTTTCAAAACTTATTCACTCTTTTAACATGTAAAAGGCTTTTCCTGCTTCTTCCTTTATTCATTTTAGTTATCATACGGAGCATGAGCTACTAAGATACATTAGTAAATTGCAGTTAAAGGATCTATCATTATGCCACAATATGATTCCTTTAGGATCTGCACCATGAAGCTTAATGCAACTATAGAGATGATACCAGTAACACGGCTAACCTTTGCAGATATGCATCCTTTTCTCCTACCCAACAGGCACAGGGGTATCAGGTAATCAAATCTTTCTAATTTTGACTTACAATTGCAAATTATATTTATGTTGACTTTTTTTAACCTGAGAGCAACATAAAAAAATATCTTGCAGTAAATGTTCAAGATTTTGGGGGACATGTTGTGTACCATAACCAAATTTCACTCTTTCTCTTTGCAATGAAATGCTGGAGCTACTGGAGAATATGTTGGGCTGATGGTTATCCGAGCTTATCATATGATATGCTAAATTATACCCTTTTATTTAATCATATATATATATATATATATATATATATATATATATATATATATATGTAAAGTCAAAGTCATTGACTTTGGTCAACTATAGGCAAGAGGAGATCATCATGGTAATGTATGCATCATCCCTGTGTCTACACATGGAACAAATCCTACAAGTGCTACTATGTGTGGAATGAAAATCATTATCGTGGGAACTGACTCCAAAGGTAATATCAACATTGAAGAGGTACGCAAGGCTCCAAAAGCAAACAAAGAGTATCTATCTGCTCTTATGGTAAGCAATTTTTTTTTATCAAAACATAAAATAAAAATATTTATAATAAACAAAAGATTATTAACTAAAGTAAATTCTCTTTTTTTAGGTTACCTATCTTTCTACTCATGGAGTTTATGAGGAGGGTATTGATGAGATTTGCAAGATTATTCATGACAATGGAGGTCAAGTTTACATGGATGGAGCTAACATGAATGCACAGATACATAAACATTACACTTCTTGTGTCGTTTTAATGGAGCTAACAATATAGTAAATGACACGTCATTATAACAAAGTGTGGAAGAAGAACATCAATACTTTACTTGCATACAACCAAACATTTTGTAACATCCCATTTTCCCAACCAAAAATTTTCATTTTATTTATGTAAATCTTCCTAGTTATAAATCTGTTATGGAGGAAACCGTTTATTCCAAATACATTTATAAAAATCAGAGTAATATTAAAGCGCGGAATCTTCATTGTTGCTGATGAATGTGTACAGTCATGCCTTCGCCTTTCCATGATAACCGATGATACCTAAAACAATAAACGATTGGGTAAGCACAAAGATTAGTGAGTTTCCCCTAAAATAACCCCAACGATAAACATAGAATCATGCATAACATCGACTCTTCGGGCCTTCGGCCTGAATGGTTCACCTTGCAGGCCTTCAGTCTATCCACATCAACATAAAAGGTTTTGTTGGCCTACTTCCTCAACCCAACCGCTCCTCTCGAGCCTCTATGCCTTCGATTTACAGCCGACCTGCACCGGGTAATAATGGCCTACGACATAAAGTAGGACTGCCTAAACATACCACTACCATATGTCGACATATAAACAATCAAGGATCAAGTAGGCACATAATACATGAAAACATCAATCATACAACTCACTACCTCCTACTAGTCCTCTCACAACATACAGTCCTAATACCAACTAACCACCATGAAATACGTTACCATAAGTAAATAGTGCTGAGATAGCTACCCGGACATATGATCCTACTCTAGAGCCATAACCAAACAAGGAATAGGAAAGAAAGCCTTGGTCAAGTGTTCTTAGGATATCCTACATGACCACATACAGTCCCAAGGGCACTCCACTAGATGATAACCAACAAGTACAGATAACATATAGTTCTATAGATCACTACAACGAAACAACATACTAAATACCAAGATACAGATCTAACAGATCACCACAACATAACAACATAGTCGATACCAAGATACAGATCTAACACATCACTACATCATAGCAGCATACTAGATATCAATGATCCAAGGAATGCATGACCATAGATACTAAGAGGTGAAATAGAAAACCAGACAGGTGATCCTTTCCATTAAGCACTTATTCCCTTCCATCGTACACCTATCGTACGAAAATTAGCCCAGCGTACTCGAGCTGGTTCCATCCTTTCCATTAAGAACTTAATCCCTTAAGGACTATTCAACGAAACTCAGATCTAACTTCAAAACATTGTCTTAAGTAATAAATTTTCCAACTTTATGACTTTCCATGGCTAGGGAAGGTCCAAAAGTTATAACCTAAACTTATTAATAAATTAAGACATCACAACTCTTGAATGAAAGGGATAAAAGGACCAAAATCACATTTTTATGGTTCCTAATAGCTTCATAATGGATAAAGTTTCCAACTTTATCGATTAGAATGGTCCCAATAAACAAGATCTAATCTTTAAGTCATAAACGGATCAAAAGTGCATCTTTTCCAACTTAATCCATTAAGTCCAATTCTCCAACCTTCATATCTGAATCAATATGATGTTTAGATGGATAAAGTTTCCAACTTTATCCAAAACAACGTCACAAATTTAAAGGATCTAAACTTTATGCACTTAAAGTGACCAAAAATCATAATACTCAAAACTAGCGAGATCTAACAATTTCATCATCAAGATTCAAAATTTATACCTCTAAAAGAAAGATTAAGGTGAACAAGGTCTGGATCTACAAGCTTAAATGCAACCAACACTTCTTTAATGAATTTATTCTTCTCCAAGGTGCACCAAGAACAAGCCAAATCACTTAAAAATACTTTTGTTTTGCTCACAAGGCTCAAACTAGGGTTATGGTTTCAAGAGAGGTTGTTGGAGAGGTGGAGGTTGATAATGGAGTGGGTTTGGGGAAGTTAAGGATGTTAAATAGGGCTCAAACCATGCAAATAGGGTTTGGGCACTGATCACGTACGCCTAATGTACTCCTGGTATGCCCTAGTATGTCTAATGTATACGGATAACCCAAAAATCATCACAAATTCAAACATTCGTAACTTCTTCGTTCTAACTCTATTTCCAATGTTCTTTATATCTACATGAAGGTGATGAAGAGCTATACAAAATTATATAAATATCTTGGACTAAAATCTTCTCAAACAAATATTTGTATTTCATGCAAGAACCCGAATTACGACTTTTCCTTTTTTTACGTGTCGACCGAAAACACAATTCAATGGTTAGATCGCTCAACCGTCATTACCACCTTCGACAAAGTCTAGTATTTACCTAATTAAGGCCCATAAATTTTATACAATTGACTTATGGTCCACTACCTTGTAATAAGAAATGATGGTAACATGATGTTACAATTCTCTCCCACTTGAATTAGATTTCGTACTCAAAATCGTCTCTCACTTCCACTTCATGATGGAAGCTCTCTTTAGGTAAATGTTGTTATGGTAATCCTATACATAGGTGCACCATCGTGATGAGAACCAACTGATCAAATACCAAACTAGGCCATGCTCCTACTTGGCTCCGAGAACCCCGCTTAGCTATCTACTGGCAATACTCAGGCTTAGCCTTGACTTAGTAACCGATAGTGGCACTCTGGCCTGACCCCAATCTACTAACCAGCATCAACATTCGGGCCAACAAAAAATAACTGATCCTACCACATATTCAGGCCATGACTAAGACCTCCTAGCCCCTATCAAACAAGAACAGACAAGGAATCCCTCATCACATCCCTTGACTTGGGATCCTAACACCCTAGGGTCTAAAGCACAAAAACGTCCTACATATGATGTCACAACTAAAACAAATATAGCTTGAAAGGAAATCTAACAACTTGCAATAATCTTAACGTGAAACCGAAGATTCAACAGCTATGTGGAAGTCTTGAACATGGAGAATTCTGAATGAGAACCGAACCTTGGCGCAAGGTATTCTTACTATGAGGTTCCACTCTCACCCACTTGAAAACTATTAGAATTTGACAACTTCACAGTCCTTTGGTTCCCTACAACTTGATCCTAACCATTAATATCAACATACACAGGAAAATCTAAACTTATACAAGTTTCACAAATTCCATCACACATACAATCGAGGACGAGATAATTAATCCATTCATAATAATGGTTCAATTAAAACAGAGCGAACAAGGCAACTTCATTCAATTGATCATCCAAGGTTACAACTGAACTTCCAAACATAAATAGGAATTATAGATAAATACCAATACTACAATAATTTATAAATAAAGGAACTACTAACTCAAATCACAGTCTCCGAGACTCCGACTATCCCGTGACGACCATATGGTAACTGCCAACCTAGGGGTGAGGGATCCAAAAGCTCACTAAAAATGAGAAAAGGTCAATGAGTTCTAATGAGGCCTTTCTAGCCACAATGGAAAGAAACTCATGTACTTCGTGTACAATCTCTACCAAAATGGACCTCCTCGCCACACCTATGACATACAAAAGATATGCACCTCGCTTCAGATGATCCCAAACTCCGGTCGGTGGACTGGAACCACTTTGTTGTATGGTGGGACTAAACCAAAGCCTGATGCTGCTTGCTTGTCTGGGTCTCTATCTCAATCTCTCTCCTCCTCGTGGCATCCAGAAGCTCAGTGAGTGTACTGTATCGATGGGTAGACACAAACTGCCAAATATCCATATTGAGCATACTCAATTACGTATTCACCTGAGCCTACTTAGAGGCAATAAACTCATGGTAGAAGAGATCCTTCTCTGTAAACATCTTGGTGATCTTTGTCACCATCTTAGTAGTCCGCCTTAAATCCAAATACTCTTCATCCAACCTTTCTCTCTCCAGTAAGGGAACATACCTCACATGGAACATCTCCAAGAATTGCTCCTAGGTAACAACAACTGTCTTCTCATAAGTTTAAGCACTAGTCACCAATCTCCACAATCCCTCACCCTCATCCTGAGAAGGTTCATGGTGCACTTGAACTTCTATTCACCAGGGAAAGAACATGTGAAGAAAAAACTCTCGACATCAGACAACCATCTCATTGCTACAATCGGGTCCCTGGCCCCATCAAATTTCGAGGGCTTCATATTGTCAAAGTCCGGGTACTGGAAAGATCTCTCCCATCGAATCCCTACCGCAGAAACCGCCGCGGTGGTTGCACCAACAACAATATTCGAAAGAGCAGCATACCGATCATCAAAAATCTCAATCATGGCATTATTGATAAACCCAAACATCTACAAAAAAGACCCCCGAACAGCAGAAGCCACCTCAGTGGTGATGACCTCCTGAATCTGATCATCAATCAAGCCTTACCTATCCTAACTACTCAAGTTAGACCCAGAACAAGATCCTTTTGTAAACACCATACTGAATATAATCCAAAATATATCAGAATGCCATATTACGCATTTCTTCAATCATGAGACTATACTCGATTCCTTGGGGTCCATGACTTCTTTGTTAGCGTATGGGTCCTGTGATTTTAGTAGTATGGGCCAATAATACCTTCCACACCTACCTGTATTTGTCTCAATGATCATCATAACTACCCAACACAAATACCCCAACTAGGATATGCATACATCCTATCCTCACTCTCTCATGAATGGATAAAAACTCCACATCTGGATGACTACTCACGTATATACTCACCCAAGAAAGTTACACTAACCCTTTAGCACTCATGTATGCTAATCATACATAACACTGTATCCTATAGACAGTTGAATACTTGATTCTACCCTAAGCACACAACAAAACAATTGACATGAAATAAGGAAAAACCAAACATTCTAAGGCTATAGAATCTTAGTTATGTACGACTATGATGCATACGTTAAGCAACTACAGTAATGATGTCGATTTCATACAATAGGCACTCCTAGGCTATCAGGCATCGTGGATCGGTAAATTCTATAATGCAATTCCTGGAGATCCCTAGCCTATTACAAGCAAGATGTTTTAATGCGTGTAAAATGAACTAGTTTTAATCCTACTAACTTAAACACAAAGAC